GTGAGTGGGTGGGTGGGTATATGAGGGAGTGGGTGGGTGGGGGAGTGGGTGGGTGAGTGAGTGGGTGGGTGAGTGGGGGAGGGTGTGGGTGGGTAGGTGGGTGGGTGAGTAGGAGGGTGAGTGAGTTAGTGGATGGGTCAGTGGGTGGGTGGGTGAGTGGGTGAGTGGGTGAGTGTGTGAGTGGGTGGGTGAGTGGGTGGGTGGGTGAGTGAGTGGGGGGGGGGGGGGGTGAGGGAGTGAGTAACAATGTGATTTACCTGCTGTTCATCACTCATCGACACGAGGTGGTCAGCTCCATCATGGGTGAGTGGGAGGGTGGGTGGGGGAATGGGTGGGTGGGTGGGTGGGTGAGTGGGTGAGTGGGTGAGTGGGTGGGTGGGTGAGTGAGTGGATGGGTGAGTGAGTGAGTGGATGAGTGGGTGAGGGAGTGGGTGGGTGGGTAGGTGAGTGGGTGGGTGAGTGGGTGAGGGAGTGGGTGGGTGAGTGGGTGAGTGAGTGGATGAGTGAGTGGGTGAGTTAACAAATAAGTGGGTGAGTGGGTGGGTGAGTGGGTGAGTGGGTGTGTGGGTGGGAAGGTGGGTGGGTCAGTGGGTGAGTGGGAGGGTGAGTGAGTGGGTGGGTGGGGGAGTGGGTGGGTGGGTAGGTGAGGGAGTGAGTGGGGGAGTGGGTGGGTGAGTGAGTGGGTGAGTGGGGGAGAGAGTGGGTGGGAGGGTGAGTGGGTGAGTGAGTGGGTGAGTGAGTGGGTGGGTGGGGGAGTGGGTGAGTGGGTGGGTGGGTGAGTGATTGAGTGTCTCAGTGGGTGGGTGGGTGAGTGGGAGAGTGAGTGGGTGAGTGAGTGAGGGAGTGGGTGAGTGAGTGAGTGGTGGGTGAGTGGGTGAGTGAGTGGGTGAGTGAGTGGGTGAGTGAATGGGTGAGTGAGTGAGTGGGTGGGTGAGTGAGTGAGTTAATAAACAAGTGGGTGAGCGAGTGATTGAGTGTCTCAGTGGGTGAGTGGGTGGGTGAGTGAATGAGTGGGTTAGTGAGTGAGTGGGTGAGTGGGTGAGTGAGTGGGTGGATAGGTGAGTGGGTGGGTGAGTGAGTGGGTGAGTGAGTGGGTAAGTGGGTAAGTGGGTGGGTGAGTGAGTGAGTGGGGGGGGGGGGGGGGTGAGTGAGTGGGTGAGGGAGTGGGTGAGTGGGTGGGTGGGTGAGTGATTGCGTGTCTCAGTGGGTGGGTGGGTGAGTGGGAGAGTGAGTGGGTGAGTGAGGGAGTGGGTGAGTGAGTGGTGGGTGAGTGGGTGAGTGAGTGGGTGAGTGAGTGGGTGAGTGAATGGGTGAGTGAGTGAGTGGGTGGGTGAGTGAGTGAGTTAATAAACAAGTGGGTGAGCGAGTGATTGAGTGTCTCAGTGGGTGAGTGGGTGGGTGAGTGAATGAGTGGGTTAGTGAGTGGGTGGGTGGGTGATTGAGAGAGGGGGTGGTCAGCTCCATCATGGTTGAGTGGGAGGGTGGGTGGGGGAGTGGGTGAGTGGGTGGGTGAGTGAGTGGGTGGGAGGGTGAGTGAGTGAGTGGGTGAGTGAGTGGGTGGATGGGTGAGTGGGTGGGTGAGTGAGTGGGTGAGTGAGTGGGTAAGTGGGTAAGTGGGTGGGTGAGTGAGTGAGTGGGTGAGTGGGTGAGTGAGTGGGTGAGTGTGTGAGTGGGTGGGTGGGTGAACGAGTGAATTGGTGGGTGTCTCTCTCTGTCTCTCTGTCTCTGTGTCTCTGTCTCTGTGTCTCTGTTTCTCCGTGTCTCTCTCTGTCTGTGTGTCTCTCTGTCTCTCTCTCTGTCTCTGTCTCTGTGTCTGTGTCTCTGTGTCTCTGTCTCTCTGTCTGTGTCTCTCTCTGTGTCTGTGTGTCTGTGTCTGTGTCTCTGTCTGTGTCTCTCTCTGTGTCTGTGTGTCTGTGTCTGTGTGTCTGTGTCTGTGTGTCTGTGTCTCTGTCTGTGTCTCTCTCTGTGTCTGTGTGTCTGTGTCTCTCTCTGTGTCTGTGTGTCTGTGTGTCTCTCTGTGTCTCTGTCTCTCTGTCTGTGTCTCTCTCTGTGTCTGTGTGTCTGTGTCTGTGTGTCTGTGTCTGTGTCTCCACCCCACGAGGGCTACTCAGCTGACTCATCCTATAATTCTCTCTCTGATCCTATAACTCTCTGACTGATCCTATAACTCTCTCTCTGATCCTATAACTCTCTGACTAATCCTATAACTCTCTCTCTGATCCTATAACTCTCTGACTGACCCTATAACTCTCTGACTGATCCCATAACTCTCTCTCTGATCCTATAACTCTCTCTAATCCAATAACTCTATCTCTCTGATCCTATAACTCTCTCTGATCCTATAACTCTCTCTCTGATCCTATAACTCTCGCTCTGATCCTATAACTCTCTCTCTGATCCTATAACTCTCTCTCTGATCCTATAACTCTCTGACTGATCCTATAACTCTCTCTCTGATCCTATAACTCTCTCTCTGATCCTATAACTCTCTCTCTGATCC